TATATATATATATATATATATATATATATATATATATATATACTGATATAAACTAGACAGTCCAGTAAATTTTGCATTTCATTTAATTTCAATATCAACAAATAAATGATTATATTATAGAACTCTGAATTGATTTAAGTTTGACAACAGATGGTCTTTATACAAACATTTCACAGATCTACAGGCAGCTGTCTAAGTGCTATTCAGGTTTTGTACTCCGTATTTATTTGTAAATAACATGCCTATTGTTACAACTGTTCGTAAGGGTTCTTTCAGTTGTAAAAAACCAAATGACAAAATTAATGGAACAGACATGTTTGAAAGGTATTCAAAGAATAGAAGTGAACTTAAATACATATAAAGGAATTAAGACAATTCCTGATTAAAAATCCGGATAATGTCTTCAGAAATTCTAATGACATAGGCCACATTATACCAATCTAACATACAATTAACATAAATGATGCTAAACCAATTAGAATTTATCCATACAGAATTCCACTAGCATAATGGAACATTGCTGAAGAAGAAATTAAGAAATTGGCAGTAGTTAAAATAGTTGAAATATGTCTTCAAAGTGCATGGAATGCTCCTGTATTAATGATGAAAAAGCCAGATGGATCTGTTAGATGTTCTTGTGAATTTAGATACCTGAATGACGTAGCAGTAAAGGACTAACAACCGTTACCTTGCACTGATGATAGTTTTCATGCACTTTTGGGTCAAAATGGTGGTCTTACCTTGACATGAAATCAAGTTATTGGCAAAGTGTCATTAAGGAAGAAGATTGACCCAAAACTGCTTTTTTAATACCTGGAAATGATTAATGGTTGTGGAAAAGAATGGCATTTTGTCTTTCTAATGCACCTGCCACTTTTAACAGATTAGCAAAAGTTGTATTGTCTAGTCTAATAAGGAAAATGTTGATACGTCTGAAAAATAAAATGTTGATAGTGTATTTAGATGATCTGATTTGTTACTCGAAACATGTGAGGGTCAACTTGAAAATCTCACTATTATATTTGAGGGGATGCTATAAGACAATCTGGAACTCAGTCCAAAGAATTGGTCTCTTTATCAGAAGCAAATTTCTTAGGTCGCTTGATCACTGTATCAGGTGTAGGGACATTGCCTGAAAAAGATGAAAACCATTAATGAATGGCCTGTGCCACAAAATGCCAAAACAAGCAAAAGGCTTTGTTTCCCTTTTGGTCATATAATAGAGCATACGTTCACATATTTGCTGACATTGCAAACCACTTTATCAAATGGCAGAAAAAAATGTAACGTGCAAGTGGTCTGAATAATATCAAAGGTTATTTGATAATTTGAAGTAAACTTCAAGAATATTCCCATACTTGCAGTCCCAACTGAACCTGGCCCTTTCCTCCTTCTTAATTGTGCTCTTTGGATAGGATTGGATAGGGTGCTGTTCTATCACAAGTCCAAGGAAAGTCAACTTTAGCTTTATCAAATGTTTTCCAGAAACTGAGAGACAATACTGTGTAACTTGCAGAGAGTTACTGGCCATCAAAAATGCCATTAAACATTTTGGTCGTGGGTTCACAGTGAAAACTGATCATGGCAGTTTGAGGTGGTTGTTGAACATTAAATTAGAAGAACAACTGACCCGATGGCTGACAAAGAAAGATTCATAACAAATGCAAATGCATTGTCAAGAAGACTGTGTTGGCTTCTTGAAAATTAAGAGCATGCCACATTTGAATGATGATGCTTATAGAGCATAGATATTAAGTACTTTCAGGTGGGAATCTGTCTGAAGAATAATGTTTTAAATGAAAGGAAATCATTTATTTAACTTTCTATACTTATTCGAAGGAGAACCTCTGTGTAGTAGTGAACTGTCTGGGCATTCCTCTTTAAGCACTGGAATCAGTTTCCTTAAAATTGCATAAGAGGCTTTGCATTATGATGAGTAAGATCAGAGAGTGCAAAGCTTTTTTTGTGGCCCACCGTTGTGTGGAGCGTTATCATGGCACTGTTCCAGTATACCAACGATATTTCTTCCACTAACGAGCAAAGGAAATTCTCAACCAAGTATATCCATACAACTAAAGGCAACACCACAAGGTTCTCTCGCAAGCGTTTCATCTCCGCATATTGTGTATTTACTATTTTAAAATTTATCCTGGATTTAGCAAGCCAACATTTCTTTGAGTTTGTTTCTTTAAAAGATGTCTCTCCAACTTCTTTCCATCCTAATTTTTCCCATCCTTTACCTTTTTCCAATGGATACATTTCATCAAATCCATAAACCTTTCATTTCTGAGTTTATGAATATTATGAATTCTCTGATAAAATGACACCGGGATTTCAGGTTCAAAGTATTCAAGTTTTCGCAAAGTTCGTAGTATGCAAGCCACATTATGAACATAAGCCTTCCGTTACGGACGACAAACTTTACAGACATTAGAGTTTGGGGATATTGTGAACAATATTTAAGGAACAAAATTAATTTCTTTTATTCGAAATGGTCGTTTGCCTGATGAAAACATACCCTAATATGCTTGCTGCTGTATACGAAGTAGCTTTTAGTTTTGTTTCGGACTATTTTTGCACGTTGTGTAATATAGTCTGACAAATGTGGCAAAGCCATTTATTCTCTACACATTAGTACAGCCTAATAAAACTATGAATGTTAATATATAGTGAAGTATTTTGAACAAATTAAAATTAAATAAGTCTTGAATATAAGAGTATACACGCTTTGTGTGCCACGTTACTTTTAAGGTAGGGACGTAAATCGTAACTTTGTGAAAACCAATAATTTTGCATAGCTAATACACATAGCTATATGGTAGAAATATTCTCTATTTCAGTATATAATGAAGAAACAATTGCATAATTGTAAGGTAAATTACGGTCTGTTTAATTGATGGCTAATGACATATTGCATAATTTACCACGGTGCAAAGTAATGCGACGTAAACAATTCCACCAGTTTGGCGATTTGAATCTGAAATAGAGATCATGGAAACAATTCATCAAACAAAACACGGCATGAATTTCTAAATAAAGTATATGCAGTTTGATAGTAACTGATTTTGCTGGAATAAATAGTGTACACGATTTTAAAATGTTCGTGAGACATGAATTTACTAGAATTTATCTAGATTGTATGTGTTACATGAAGAAAAATGGATATAGTTATAACAAGAACAGATACACTGCAACGTTAAGAGACACATATATATTGTTACATTAAGAAATACGGACATGCTGTTATATTAAGAAACATATATTGTTACATTAACAAACACAGATATAATGTTACATTAAGAAGACATATATACTTATACATTAAGAAAGACATATACTATTACATTAGGAACAGACAGATATACTTTTACATTAAGAAACACAGATATGCTGTTACACCAAGAAAGACGGAGATACTGTTACATTAAAAAGATATACTTGTACATCAAGAAAGAGACATACTGTTCCATTAAGAAACACGAAAATATTTTTACATTAAGAATCATATATATGCTGTTACATTATGAAACACGGATATACTTTTACATAAGAAGAATTTATATGCTGTTACATGAAGAAACACGGACATGTTGTAACATTAAGAAATACAGATGTACTGTTACATTAAGATATATAATGTTACATTAAGAAACACGAATATAGCGTTACATTAAGAAACACATATGCTGTTATATTAAGAGACACGGATACACTATTACATCAGAAACATTTATATACTGTTACATTAAGAAAGACGGACATTTTGTTACGTTAATAAATACAGATGTACTGTTACATTAAAAAGACAGATATAATGTTATATTAATAAACACATATATAATGTTATATTAAGAAACATAGACATTTTGTAAAATTAAAAACATATATACATTGTTACCTTAAGAAATAAGGACATGCTATTACATTATGATGAATTAGATTCAAAAGCTCAAGGGTTCTATGTGTGTGAGCAGGGAAGACGTAACAAAAGGCAAGTGAACGTCATGGAACAAATGGAGAAAAAGTAATCAAACATATATGGGTAGCCTGGGGGATAATTCACCATGGGATTTACAGTGGAGAATGAGTGTCCGGGTATTCATGGAGTATTGAATGAGGCGAGAGCCCCATTTCCGTACATTTTTAGAAGAAAACTTTTAAAATATTTAAAAAAAAGAATGAGTGATTATGGCTTACAGATGTTTAGTCTAAATTATCTAAATTCTACTGATAAACATGTATCTACCATCCTAAGATGTGAGTCAGAGCATCATTCAGCATTTTGTTTAAATTTTTTTTTCAAAAGTTAATAAGATTATAATTTATGCTATAAACAACGAAGGTACTTCGTTGGCTTTCTAAATAAAGGCTGAGGATATTCTTAGACGGGTTACAGTTCTTTCAATATTTAGTGTCTATGTTACTCTTCCTATATACATAAGATAAGGAAAAATATATACTTTTAGATACTAACCTGGGGTAATCTGATTAAATTCCAATCAACACCGTCTTGCGTGAAGATCAGAGCGACCGCTAAGGGGTCATGATCTGATGACCTTTGAATCAGCCAATCGCAATGCGGATGTAATAATTTTGAAATCTGCAATCGTTACGGCCCACGGTGATGCTCTTTAACACACTGCACAGCCTCCCAAAAGCTAATGTGTAAGACTTCATCTGGTTCGCTGATAAAAGTAGTGATTACGTTAATAATATATGTCACCAGAACATGACCCCTAAATGGCCGCTGTCAGATCTTGGTGTAGATCACAGGGGCTCGTATAGTAACTTACAATTCATCAATATGTGCTATATAATAGTTATTATATACTACATGTACGACGGTAAATTGTAAACAAGAATACGAGTCCTGCTCGTGTAGATCAGTGAAGATCTGATTTTTAAGATGTTGAGACTATGCACTGAAGAAACTTGCACATTATGATATCACTATTACTGAAGAAAATTTTCAAATGTGGCTCGTCAACACTTGCTGCACCGGTTCCATGGTGTATTGATTAGCACTCTGGACTTTGAATCCACCGAACCGGGTTCAAATCTCGGTAGAACCTTGAGTTCTATATTAAATTCCTTTATTTCGTTTACTTTTTTTGTATAAAAAATTAATTTTATTTTAGAAAATGTTTATGCGAAAGTAGAGGTGTAACCAAACTGAAGCAATATGATCCCTGATGTGTGTTTATTTCATAATAAAACAGCTTGGAAACAGATTATTTCAAAGTTTGAATACATCTTCGCAATTGTTGAGTTACAAATTAAAAAGAAAACAATCCCGTAACTAAAATAAAGTTTGAATATTTCTACATATTGTCGGACGATCCTCATTTCTTTGTCGTTGATATTTTTTTTTTACAAAAGTTAATCAGAATATACTTTATGCCGTAACCAACGAAGGTACTTTGTTAGCTTTATAAATGTAGGCTGAGAATATTCTTAGACGGGTTACACTTCTTTAAATATTTAGTGTCTATGTAACTACAATTCGTAACGTGTCCCTATTACACATTTACACTTCCTGTGTACATAAGATCTGGTAAAATATATACTGATAGATACAAACCTGGGGTAATCTGATTAAATTCCAATCTCCACTGTCTTACGTGAAGATCTGAGAGCGACCGCTAAGGGGTCATGTACTGATGACCTTTGAATCAGCCAATCGCAATGCGGATTTTATAAATTTGAAATCTGCAATCGTTACGGCCTACGGTGATACTCTTTAACACACCGCACAGCCTCTCAAAATCTAAGGTGTAAGACTTCATCTGGTTCGCTGATAAAAATAGTGATTATGTTAAAAACATATGTCGCCAGATCATGACCCCTAAATGACCGCTGTCAGATCTTTGTGTAGAACACAGGGACTCGTATAGTTACTTCCAATTTATCTTCGTATATGTACTATATAATAGTTATTATATATTACATGTACGACGGTAAATTTTAAACAAGGATACGAGTCCTGCTCGTGTATATCAGTGGAGATCTGATTTTAATGATGTTGAGACTAAGCACTGAAGAAACTTGCACATTATAATATTTCTATTACTGAAGAAATTTTTTAAAACTAGCTCATCAGCACCTACTACACAGGTTCCATGGTGTAATGATTAGCACTCTGGACTTTGAATCCAGCGATCCGAGTTCAAATCTCGGTGAAGCCCTGAGTTCTATGTTAATTTCTTTCTTTCCGTACTATTTTGTATAAAAATTTAATTTTATTTTAGAAAATGTTAATGAGAAAGAAGAGGTGTAAGCAAACTGAAGCAATATGATCCCTGATGTGTGTTTATTTCATTATAAAACAGCTTGGAAACAGAATAGTTCAAAGTTTGAATAAATCTTCGCTATTGCTGAGTTACAAATTAAAAAGAAAACAATCTCGTAACTAAAATAAAGTTCGAATACTTCTACATATTGCCGGACGATCCTCATTTCTTTGTCTTTGATATAATTTTATTTTACAAACGTTAATCAGAATATACTTTATGCCGTAACCAACGAAGGTACTTTGTTAGCTTTATAAATATAGGCTGAGGATATTCTTAGACGGGTTACACTTCTTTCAATATTTAGTGTGTATGTAATTACAATTCGTAACGTGTCCCTATTACACCTTTACACTTCCTGTGTACATAAGATAAGGTAAAATATATACTGATAGATACAAACCTGGGGTAATCTGATTAAATTCGAATCTCCAATGTCTTACGTGAAGATCCGAGAGACATGAAGAAACACGAACATATTGTTACATTAAGAAATACAGATGTACTGTTACATTCAGATATATAATGTTACATTAAGAAACACGAATATAGCGTTATATTAAGAAACACATATGCTGTTATATTAAGAGACACGGATACACTATTACATCTGAAACATTTATATACTGTTACATTAAGAAACACGGACATTTTGTTACGTTAATAAATACAGATGTATCGTTACATTAAAAAGACAGATATAATGTTATATTAATAAACACATATATAATGTTATATTAAGAAACATAGACATTTTGTAAAATTAAAAACATATGTACATTGTTACCTTAAGAAATAAGGACATGCTATTACATTATGATGAATTAGATTCAAAAGCTCAAGGGTTCTATGTGTGTGAGCAGGGAAGACGTAACAAAAGGAAAGTGAACGTCATGGAACAAATGGAGAAAAAGTAATCAAACATATATGGGTAGCCTGGGGGATAACTCACCATGGGATTATAAGATAAGGTAAAATATATACTGATAGATACAAACCTGGGGTAATCTGATTAAATTCGAATCTCCAATGTCTTACGTGAAGATCCGAGAGCGACCGCTAAGGGGTCATGTTTTGATGAGCTTTGAATCAGCCAATCGCATTGCGGATTTTATAAATTTGAAATCTGCAATCGTTACGGCCTACGGTGATACTCTTTAACACAACGCACAGCCTCTCAAAATCTAAGGTATAAGACTTCATTTGGTTCGCTGATAAAAGTAGTGATTATGTTAAAAACATATGTCACCAGATCATGACCCCTAAATGACCGCTGTCAGATCTTGGTGTACAACACAGGGACTCGTATAGTTACTTCCAATTTATCTTCGTATATGTACTATATAATAGTTATTATATATTACATGTACGACGGTAAATTTTAAACAAGGATACGAGTCCTGCTCGTGTAGATCAGTGGAGATCTGACTTTAAAGATGATGAGTCTATGCACTGAAGAAACTTGCACATTATGATATCACTATTACGGAAGAAAAATTTTAAAACTAGCTCATCAGCACCTACTACACAGGTTCCATGGTGTAATGGTTAACATTCTGGACTTTGAATCCAGCGATCCGAGTTCAAATCTCGGTGGAACCCAGAGTTCTATGCTAATTTCTTTCTTTTCGTTTACTTTGTTTGTATTACAAATTAATTTTATTTTAGAAAATGTTAATGCGAAAGAAGAGGTGTAAGCAAACTGAAGCAATATGATCCCTGTTGTGTGTTTATTTCATAATAAAACAGCTTGGAAACAGATTAGTTCAAAGTATGAATAAATCTTCGCAATTGTTGAGTTACAAATTAAAAAGAAAACATTGACGTAATTAAAATAATATTTGACTATTTCTACATATTGCCGGACGATCCTCATTTCTTTGTCTATATAAGTGTGAGGTAATCGCTGTACATGATTATTTTTTATACATATATTGACCTTTCCATACGTTCTTGAATTTTTCAATCAAACGAAATTATGCCTGAAATACTTCTTACCTGTAATTTACAGAATATGTTTCATTTTGTTTCCCGAATACGTCTCTTAATCTCCGCAGACCACTTTGAAACAATAAATAAATCCGTACGATCTCGACAATTTCTTTGAAGGTACTAATTGTACGATTGACCTTTTAACTAATAAAAACATAGTTCGATGCATTCGCATTTTTTCGGCTAATCATTGCTTCTTTAATTGGTGAGATGAACCAAATGCAGCTATCGGCATATATTTCAAGGTATGATCTATATGACTGGCCTCGAAATTGCGAATTAAAGAGGCGCGGCATGGTTCTTATCAAGTGACATTTTGCCTGTAAGGTGCCGATATCGCCAAGCGCTTTATATTGAAACAACTAAGACATTGATATCGATATCGTGTCCCCGTATGCTGGAAAGTTCTTCATATCTGTGGAGACTACAGCCGAAAACAAATTTATAGGAAATTGCTGTTTTTGGTTACAAAGAGCATACCATCACCCTGAATGGCCAAACCCTTCTGGCAGTGACCAAGTTCACCTATCTCGGCAGTTCGCTCTCGCGTGCAGTCCAAATCGATGATAACTGAAATGCAAGAATTCTAAAACAAGTGTGGCCTTTGGCATACAACGAGCATATGTGTGCAGAAAGAGGCGTCAGTTTGCAAACAAAACTTAAGGTCTATACAGGCACTGCGTTGCCAAGACTGCTGTATGAATGCGAAACCTGTACGGTGTATATAAACCATTCCCAGGAACTGAATCATTTTCAATGGCCTGTATGAGGACACTGAGGAGGATATCACCTTAGGATATTTTCCATGTTCTCTACTAGGCACGACAATAGAAGAAATACTGCCTTCATGGTTAAATGATGACATATTTAAAACATGACAATCTCAGGAACTACAAATACTACTGTATCATTATTCATATCGAGATTATTAATATGCCTAAAGCTAACTTGATTTGCCATATTTACCTTTATAACCTGATTTTACATTAACCAACATAATTTCATTTTATTTAATCGCTTCAAGATATTTCAATTTATTAATTTATACATATATTTGCCCTTTGAACGGACTTAAGACTAACTATAGGCAGCTGTGTATTGACCGACTGCATAAACTCATCATATCCCCGAGTGTGTCCGTTACAAAATGTAGTTCTATGCATTTTGTCGCTATTCACAATCACCTTTGCATATTGATAAGCTGATTGTCTTCTTTTTTGTTTCTATTTTTTCTACACATTGACTATATCAGCATAATACACACTTACGATTTAAACACGAAAGATTGTTTAAATAATAACACTAGAGAACTACAAACACTACTTTGGCTACGCCATTCACAAAAACGGTAATCAGTTTATAGATTTCATCCAGTATGTTGCTGGGATGGTCCAAAGTGAGAGAGAGAGGGGGGGGACATTTTCATATTTATTAATAATTATTGAATTTTAGAACATTTTTGTAGTTTGCTTAAGAAACAACAAAACATTAAATACATCACAATATGTGTAACACGTAACCGAGGAATTTACTTTATAATGTCTACTTAGTTTGCAACTTTGTATCATTCATAAACGCTGTAGATAAATCCCAAAACAAAAATGCACACGCATCGTTTCTTGAAGGTTACGTTGTGTAATTTCTATTTGCATCCAGCATAAATTCCTATTTCTCTCTCACTCCACATTTTTGCGTAGTTAATTATGCATGAGAGTGGATGGTGAAACAAACATCAGAAAGCATTGTGATGAAAATGTGTACCATAATAAATTCATTTAGAACGCGAGGAT